TCTTTTGTGGTCTCTGCATACAGCTACTTTCAATGTTGCCTTAAAAGCAAGAAACAAGGCTGTGAAGGAGGACACAGTTGCTGCAACAGATGTTGATACAGACTACAATAAACCACGCAACAGAAAGCCGCCTAAACGCCTACTTTTATCAGATTCGGAGTCAGATGAGGAACCGAGAGGAAAGAAACCTGTGGGAAGTCATATCATTCCGGAACCCAGCTCAACTCTGCCCTTAAATCTCAAAAGGTTACTCGATAGTGCTAAAGCCAAAAATTTAGCTAAGTCCAAGCAAAAATGTTCTGTCATTTCGAAGCTTTTGTTTGCCTCATCAAAGAGAGATACAACTCCTGTCCACCAATTATTACAGGAAGAGTCTGCACAGGCTGGTTTGTACTTTTTATTACTACAACTTAACTGCAACATTTAGCAAACTGTCCTTATGTTTTTCCTTGTAATTTATTTTCCAGAAACTACTAATGATGAAAACTTATCTGAGATGTTAGAAGAAGATAATTGTTCTTTTTCCGAATTAAAACAGTCAGTTTCTAAGAATGATAGGTCTTCTTTGAGATCCACAAAGTTTTCTAACAATTTTGAGCCATCTAAAATTGCGGAAGCGACTAACATTTGTGAGCAATCTCCAGATTTTCATGGTGTAAGCACACTAAAGTCTGATCACAATAATTATTTCAGAATGAATAAAAAAAAAGATTTCTTAGACAGACCTACATCATCAAAAAGCTCATCAGAAGGTATTTTTATTGATTGCCTATTTTTGTGGAAATGAATGACTGCTCAGTTGATTCCGAATTGAACATTTGGTTTTGTTCACAGAATCACAGTCATCAACAGGATGCAGAAACTGCGGATCAACTGGCAGTAAGTCTTTATATTTTCTATCCTCTTATATCCTTAAAGTAATGAAAATTGTTTTTATTAGTAATTGACAAGTTTGTATGACTTTTTATATTATGGGCAAATTACAACACTCCAAAGCTGCCATTTGATTCATGTGGTTTTTTTTGGCAGGTAAGCCTCCAGATCAAGTACTCCTAATAAATTACATGCAAGAATTGTCAGCAAAGATAGATTGGCAGAATATTGGGATTTCCCAAATTTTGAACGAGTTGTTCCCCAATAATAATGGTTTTGATCGGCCTGAAGGGTTTCCTTCCTTGCCACTGGAAACTGAGGAATCTCTTGCAAGCTTTAATGATCACTTAGATGATAAAATATTGTA